GTTTACATGATGATGCTGTATTGCAAAAGAGGGGAGGGCATGGGTATGATGACATGGAGATTAAGTCTACGTTAGAACTACTTATGTTGCTTAATGTCCTAGTCCAATGGTGTGCTTTGTTCACCTACAAATAGGAAGGAGTGGCTGCTAGTTCTTAGATATACTATAAAGTGCTTTAAAAGTTGGAAATGTTGCACCAGTCAAAAATTTTGCCACCATTTAACATTTGGACAGTGCTTTGAAGATAAAATGTGCTCCATAAATACTATGTTCCGCTCTTTCCGCTGTTAGACTTCACACGTCAGCTATTAAAAGAACTAAGAACTGAAAGCAGTTAAGCTCAAGAAATAGTAATGATACTAATAATACTTTGTACTTCACTCATGCTTATGTCCAAAAATGTTCAAAACTTTTACAAACATGAGGAAAACGTTAGCCTTGCAGTTTTAAAGTAAGATTATCTATATTTATGACAGAGAAATTAACGCACAGAAAAAAAAGGCTCATATTTTTAAATATGCTTAGACATTTAAGTTCTACTGATCTCAATTTTAGATTGCGTCAGACCTTTAGGGTATAAAGGTACTGGAGTGACTTATTAAAGGAAAAAAATTTCTTCTCTTGCTTTATAGTATTTGTTGTTTCTGGCAAACCATAGCAAGGAGGGCAACACTTCTTTTTTTGCTGTAATCTGATAATTTTCTGCAGAAGTTTTCTGAGAAAAGCTGATCAGGTTGTCCCAGGAGTGGCAGCAGTGCTCTACCATTGCCAGGCAAAGGGATATAAACAAGACAGGGTGATGGGGAGAGGTGATACCTTTTATTGGAGTAATCAGTAGAGTTAGGGGGAAATAGATGCATTTTCACATCCCGAATAAAAGCCTGCGTGCCACAAGACCTGCCGGTTTGTGGAGGGTTTACCTTTGCTAGCTGCCAGACACACAGCCAGCTGCTCTTTCACTCCCCCTGCTCAAGAGAATGGGGCCAGAAAATAAGATGGAAAGCTTGTGGGTCAAGATAAAGACAGGGAAATAAATCACTTAGCAATTACCATCACAGGCAAAAACAGCCTCAACTTGTGAAAAATTAATTTATTGCCAGTTAAAATAAGTTTGGATAGTGAGAAGTGAGGACAAATTAAGACAATACCTCCCCCCACTCCCTTTTTCTCTTCACTCCTCCGTTCCTGACCCTGTGTCTGCTCCCCACCCCTACTGGCACAGGGGGATAGGGAATAACAGCTCCTCCCTCCTCCTCCTCCTGCTTTTATCCTGTTCCAGCATGGCCCACCGTGCCTTCAGGACATATCCATATCCTCCAGCACAGGATTCTCCACAGATCCTGTCCTGGAGAACCTGCTCCAGTTGGGCTCTCCAGGGGCTGCAGGGGAGCATCCTCACCCTCTCCTGCTCTCCCCTTGGTGCTCACAGGAACGTTCACTTTTTTCCTCACTCCCTGGCAGCATTTTGCCCTTTCTTAAATATGTGGAACCATCAGTGTCTGGCATGGGGCAGCCCCAGCTGGTCCTCACAGAGGCCACCCTGCACCCCGTGCTGTCAGTGCCTGGGCACCGGCACCCAGTGCACCATTTTTCTCTCCCAGTTGGCCCAGCATCTTTCCCACAGGCACTTCTGCCCCAAGCTGGGAAGGCTGCAGAGATGGGTAATGTTTTGTTGTTCAGAGGGCACCTTGAATTCAAAACATGGGGTCCCTGATCTCACGTCTTAGCTCCCTGACCACCCTAGGTTAGAGCTGTGAGGTGACCAGGCTGTTCTGGGACTTGGTGGATGATGGTGCAGGTGTCTCTCTTCTCTGGCTGACAACCTGGGTAGCTTCAAAATTTCAAAGCCAATTATCCTGGGGGTGTCTTTTCGTATTGACTTCTGGTTTGGTTTGGTTTGGTTTCTGGAGGTAAGCCAGCAGAAAGAGAGCTTTAATCGGTCCTCCCTACAAAGCTTCTCAGAGCAGAGGGCTCTCCTCGCAGGGACTTCCCTCCCATGGCTGCCTGACCATCCTGAGGGGGAGCAGGGTCCGTGGGGTTCCTGCCCCTGCATCCCCAGTGACCTGCACAGACAGGACACCCAGCGCGACCTTAGTGATCTGAATGGCTCACCGTTTCTAATGTGTCCCTCGAGAGGTGGGAGGTGAGTGGGAGAGCAGAAGGATGGGCAGAGGGGCTCCCCTCCGTGCCTGGATTTAGCACGGGGCCTGAACCATGCCTCTGGTGCAGAGGAGGATATTGGAAGGCATTTCATGTAGCACACGAGTGCAAAATAATACTCAGTCAACAGGCAGAAGGTTGTTTAGCATTTCAGGCAGGCTGTTTGAAAAACAGGCTTATTTTGGCTCCTGTTCTCTAATACAGGAACAGGTATTGTGCACATGTGTATAGTGGTAATAGCACGTCGCTCCTTACTGTAGGAGTTTGCTACTTTAGTGAAAATAATCAGTTAACAATTATCGCCACTGAAAATGTATCTTCACATCCCATCAAGCCACAGATATTTTCCACTGGTCCATACAATGCCAGCCCATCAGAAATGATAGGAAAGAGCGAAGCTATTGTTATAGCAACTCAATATTCACAGAATATTCAGCCGGGGATGAACTCCTCAAGAGGAGCTAATAAGCAGCCACACTTGAATACCTGATGTTTATGAAGGGGAGAAATGTACACGGAGAAGTACATTATGGTTAAAAATGTACTTGTTCTGTCCGAAACAAAACCTAGCCTTTATCTCTCATGTACAAGCAAGTCTACCAGGGCCCAAAAAGAGAGATTAGTCTTTGAGGAGCGATCTGAAAGATAAGTAATACGTCAAAGGAAAGAAAATGCAGTTTCTGCTCCTTGGGGAAAGAGGGTAAAAGGGGAAGGGGAAAAAAAAGAGAAAAAAACCATTAAAACCCTCCTTTTTTTTTCCTTTTTTTTTTTTTTTCTAGCTGTAGCCATAGCCTCTTTCCTTTGATTTGTCATGATTTAAATTCATACAAAAAGATTTATTTCAAATAAGCCCCTTTAACTGTAGGGGCAGATTTTTTTTTTTCCCTCAAGCCTTTTTGTAAGAACAAAGTAACCACTTGTCACACACAGTGACTAATGAGAGTTTAGTGTGGGTTTTAGTGTTCATTCATACGCTTTGTGTTCAGCTAGTCGTAAGTTAAATCTTTAGAAATCACACTGCAGGAATCCTTCGCTGAGGGGTGGGGGCGGGAGGCAAATCTGTCGAGATATTGAGAACTGGGGAGCGGAAACTGCTCTTTTCAGGCTTCCTAATCGGCGGCGCAGGAAATAAACACATGCAGGAAGTCGTTTGGCCTTTTCTTGAACTTAAAGTTTATCCAGCAATTGATAACCGAGGCAAACTTGGTGTGCTTAAACTTTTGAAAATTAAATGACATAAAGAGGGCATGTTCAGCCAATGCCAGCGTGGCCTGTAGTTCCTACAACCAGCTCATCTAAATACAGTATTAAATATTGGAAAGGCTATACAGGGTATATACTTTTATAGCTAGAATGTGTCCTTGAAACCTTTTTGTATGTCTTCTCCCCGTCTCCTTTTCCTTCCATTTCACTAATCCTTTCCCAAAGAGACTGAGCTGAAGCATTGAAATGAAACTGAAAGTCATGTTTTCTCTGCTTCTGCATCGGGCTCTGCTCTTTCATCCTTTCCCTGACCTTCTCATCTGTCTTGTACGTACCTCGGGGTAAGGATAGTCTTGTACTGTGTGAAACACCTTGTTCAATGGTGGCCCATATTGATATTTGGTTAAAGCTACATATATCGTGTATAAAAGTTGTCTTTGAAAGGAGGGTAAAAATAAATGAAGCGTCATTCTTGAATATAGCTTTTGAAACTGATAGCATCAATTTACTAACAAGGACGTTTAGAGCATTTCTAAGAAATGTTGTGTTCATATTTCTCAAGCTTTCGCTGTATTACTAAGGTACTGAATTCAACGATGTAAAAAGAACAGTTTGAGGTTTATAATAATTACAATTAATTGGTGTAAATTTGCATGGGATATTGAGAACAAATTTTCCAATGAAAAGAAAGCAAGTAAAACCCAAATGCAGGACAGATTATGGAGGGAAAAGTACATTTGCATGTCTTTGAAGAACCAGCCTAAATATCTACTAAAAATGCATCCATGTCAAATGCATCTTCTACTTTTTTTGAATTTTTTTTTTCCTGCCCTAATAAGCCACCCCTATAAATACAAGCATTTATTAGGAATGTTTTGGGGTTTTTTTTAAGCAAGGACTAGAAGCAGAAAACTGCGGTTAAAGTAAAGAAAAGTGAGAGAAAGCCAGAATGAATGAAAGTGAATTACACATCTATAGGCTGGGTTACTTTCAGATGAAATTATCAAGTTAAGTTAGAAAAGAAATTTAAGATTTTATTGTGTTGTTTTTTTCTTCTGCTTCTTAAATAATAAAAAAATGTTGTGAAGTTTCATATTCTGTTTAGAAGGTTACATGTTTGCAATGTAGGGGTAGCTTTGTGACAGCTTGGCCTTACCTGGCCACTAGATGGGATTTCAGGACTTCAAGAGATATATCTAAACATTGGCCCCCAAATGCCATTTTCTGTAAGTTGGGCGTAGCTGATCAGGAACTCAATAATTGTCAATATTTAGTTCATTCTAATAAATAAATAAACATGGAAGTTTCAACTATCAATCTTGTAGGATTGCACCCTCTACACATTTTCAGAACATTCCCTTATCTCAATCACTTAGACATTGCTAATCTAATTTACATCCCAGCCTGAAGTCTAACAGTCATCAGTCTTTTGGGGGGCATTACAGCGACATAGCTGTTTCACTGATATTTTGAAAGAATCAATGTGTTGCTTTTCCCAGTTACTTACAGGAAACATTCAAGCTTGTTCCAGACCGTGTGGCAGAATATATATGCACTATGATGTTATGTAGCTGCATTGTTTGTATTCTTCTACTCTAAAAACTATTTTTACATTGCATTTCTTTCTTTTTTGATAGTCCAGCTCCACAGTGAGAACGTACCAAAACAGTAAATCAAGAGTGACCATGAGCCCTGGCTTTAGCTCCCAGTGGAATAGCAGCCAACCTGCTTGGAATACATACACCTTTCCAAGAGCAAGCTTGCACTACCAGTCTCATGCTAGCTACACCTACTGTGCTGGACATCCTGCTGTAAGTAAATATAACCTTTTCTGCAGTTACTGAATGAGCTGTATGATTCCTTGGGAGGTGGAGGTGCTCGGGGGCTGACAGTTTGGCACACTTTGCCGGTGCTCATTGTGTCCTACAGCAGTCAGGACAGCTCATGTGCACTAACCGTAACTCGAGAAAATATTAGAATGAGTCTAAGACGTAAGCAAATGTGAAAGTTTCATGGCTCAGTAGAAATACATATATTTTTCTACATTTAGCAATCCTTCTCCCTGCATGAAATTGCTGTTGTGTGCCTGGGTTTCAGCATCAGGGATGTGGGCTGGAAAGCAGTATTATTGATGGCTTCTTTTCTGTTTATAGTGAGTCTGTTAGATGAATGAATTATTCTTTCTATTTCAGAGATTTTAAATTGTCTGGATGAGTCAGTGAAGGAGGGCATCTCTTCTCATCATTGCATTTGTTAATATTCACTACTTTATCATTAATGTGATCAGTAGTGAACACGCAATCTTGTTGCTAAGCAAAGACTACTGGTCTTTTGTAATTTGCGTGAACTGGTGGCCCAGAAGAATCGGGGGGGGACTCACTGTTGTTGTGTGTTTTAATTTGACAACCATGAAAGGGTCACAACTGAAGGCTGATGGTGTTTTTTGTCATTTTGGTGTAGCAGACTGATTATAGCAGAGCCCTGTCATTCTTTTAGTGTCTGATTTTGAAGGACTGTGAGAGAGTGAAGTAGGGAAGGCCTCCGTGGTGTAAGCAATATTCCTTTTTACATGCACTCGACACTTTGTTGGTTTAATGTTTGGATTTGAACTTAGCTTTGGATATTGCTAGAACTTCTTAAAGGACATACTATCTTAACGTCTTGTCATGTGTATGTAATGAAGTTTTGCTATCCTGTGGTGAATTATAGAAGGAAAATAGGGGAAAGTGCAGCTTTTACTGCAGAGGGGAAATTGTGTTATGCAATCTTATTGCAAGATCTTTGCGATTTGATTTAGATCTGCTATCTTACCTGCCAACAGACTTTTGGCCAGAAGTTTGGGTTGGGAATTGTCTCAAGCATTAACATGGTAATTGAAATAAAGGAGGGGAATAAATTTGTAAAATCTTATCTCTTTTCTGAGGTGGTGAGATCTCAGAATGAATTAAACATCTCTATGGTTTCTGCTGTTTGCTCAATTCCATTACAGTGTCATTGAAAATGATAAAAACTGTTGTGACGGAAAAAAAAGGTATTTGGCATTGTAAGGACACAGATATTTTCCTCGTTTTGAATGATGGCTCAAAAAGAGTCCCTGTACAGCTTAATTTAACTTAAACTGTGGGTATTCAAGTCATTAACTGCTCCTTAACTTTGATCATTTAGAATAAACACTACCCTCTCTGAGAGTCAAGCTTTGACTCTACTAAGCAAAAGAGCATATAAGAAGAATGCTATGCTTTCTGTGAGACGGTTTAAAAATGGAGATGTCTTCGTATCCAGATGAATTAGAATGTCAGTCAAGGCAGGGGAGTCTTTTTTAGGCCGATTCCACAGTTCCTCTTTCCTTTGTTTAGACTAAAGCTGATGGTACCTCAACTAGAATTGCTTTACCTGTACAATATTTGTTTTTGTTGAGCAACTTAATATGTAGTTGTTGGAAATGATACTTTCATCTGGAAGTTGATTTAGCTGATTGCTGGTAAGTAGAGATTTCAGAATAGCTGGAGTTGCGTACATCTTTGTGCATATGAGAAATGCCAAAACCAAGTAGATAAGTATAAGATAAATAAATAAGTTGTTCGATTAGTCCTGCCCTCAGTGTCCCTGTTTAGAAAACTTGGCACGTTTCTTGACTTCTGCTCATCTGAGGAGCTCTGCTGTGGTGCTGTCACAGCAGATAACTGTACCCATTTCCTAGGCTGGTGGAAAGCTGCAACAGATTAACTGCCATTGCAGAGCCTACCCCTATGATCACATACTTTTTCCATACCTTCCCTACTTGTGCACACTCAGAGGGGTAGGCCATAAGTGGAGCCCAGGCAAGGCACTCCAGCAAGCTCAGTTCCTCCCTCCTGCAGCATTAGATGAAGGTTAAGTTTTCCACGTGAAAACAATACCTTAATATTTGCTTGAATGTCTGTTGCAGTGTATATGATAAAGTTAGAATTAGTCTGATTGCTGTTTCTAATTTAGATTTGTTTAATCTGGGCTCAAACCAACACTTCTATGGCAAATGACAACAATAAAAGCTGGACATGGAGGAGCTTCTTTATTCATGAATCTTCCCAGTGTAACACGCTCAACTGGATGTCTACTATACTTCAGAGGATTTTATTTGCCCTCATCTGACACAGGTTCACCAGAACAAGCTGTAGGTTTTATTGCTGTATGAAGCTGTTTCTGCAAAACCTCCCACATGGAATATGTCTAAAGATCATTGTAGTTTCTTGACGCTTTGGAGGCTAACAAACTTACAAGCGTTTTGCAAGTTCAAGGCAGACAAATGTCAGTGAGCTGGATCTGGCCTTGAAGTACTTAAAGATATCAGTCCCTGGAGAGAGAGCCAAGAGAAAAGCTTTGGATTTCTCTACTGTTTGGAGAAAAGCTGAAAGAAACAAAAAAGATTCATGTTAATTGGGCCAAATGTATCTCAAAAAAATAATCCTCTAATTAATTTTTTTTTCTAAATGAAAGAAAAAGTATCGTACAAAGTGCAGGGTTAAGAGACCCTTATGACTCTGGCTGGTCTTGAGAAATATGTCTGAGCCAAAGGGGGTGGTGTTTTTTTTTTTTAATTTTATCTGAGAGCACACTCTGCATCTCTTTTCCATGGTGCTGCAATCATTGATTAAAAGCAGTCTTTCCACCCCAGGAAAGAAAAGAACAGGAAGTTTGTTTAAACAGAGTTATTTTTCAGCTCTTGGATTTATCTAAGAGAAAAAAAGGCTGCAAATCATCCCAGTCAAAAATACGGTGCAGTTTTTGAACCAACAAGAAGATGCCAACTTCTCCTAGCTATACCGGGAGGCAGGATACCCTGTAGGATCTGTGTATACTAATATAGGTGATAATGTGGTAAACATCCATTGCAAAGTATATGTCAACTTGTTTTTGATATTAAGGGCTAGAAATGCCCCTGGCATTCGCACGCAGAGGCTTGGAGCCAGAGAAATACAGCATGTAGTGCTCAGAATAGCAGGAGACACCTAGGTATCTAACATGCTTTTCTCTTGAACTTTCTTCTCACAAGGAAGATAAAAAGGAAGACAAAAAAAATAGTCAAAGTAATTTTGATTATTCCTACTGGGCAAGAGAGGAACAGTCCTTTGAGCACTTTCACATCTATGAAGGTTTCCTACCCTTGGTTCTTTCAGTGTCTCAAAGACTCTTTAACTTCCCTTTGTCCACATTTTGCTATAAGGATGATTGAATTTCAACAGATCTTAGGAAATCTCGTCCAGTGAATTACCTCTAACAAATTACTGCTTAGATTGTGCTGCAATTTTAAAGAAGTACATGTGTAAAGTGGGCAAACAAAACACAGATCTCATCTGCTTTTGACTCTTCTAGTTGAAATTGTAAGGGAGTCTCTTATGTCTTTCTTGAATATTCATGTAGTGTCACAGATATCTGCCACACTCACTTATGTGGAAGTCAGTCCTTACTTATGAAGGAATTTGGCAATGGGATACACTTTGATGAAGCACACAGTACTGTTGCAGACTGAGTTACCCTGCAGGGTTTGAAACCTTTGTTGTAGGCCCATGGGATGATGAATTTAGTTGCATGTATTAATTTCTTCATGTGCATACATCTCTGTTGCATATGTGATGCCTTTGCATTCCTTATCCAGCTATGCAACTCAGCATATGTAAGACTTTCCCCTAGCATCTATTCTGCACTCTAACGGGATTTGGTCATGCTCCACTAGATCAGTGACAGCCTTCAAAGCATGATTGGTTAAATCTGTAAAGTTATTATTTGGAGCTCTACAGATAATGTTTACAAGCTGTTACATCTGAGATGTCATATGTGGATCAGACAATCAGTTTGCTTAGCAGTACTTCTGTCCCCATTCCAACAGTCGGTCCCCAGACTTCTTTCTGCTAACTTCTTTAAATGCGTGATTGCTTCTGAAATTATGCTGTTAGTGGGAATGTGCAAAACAGAATTAAAAAAAAAAAAAGTGACACAGAGCTCTATGAGACACTACTGGCCTTCTTTCACTCACTTCTCTGAGTCCTGGTAGGTTCTCAGATCTTTAATCTTGGGAATCTTAAGACCCGGTAGAAGGAGCTATAGCTCCTTTTACACTTTCCCACTGGCAATCTTTGGAGAGAAAAGCAGCAAGGGAGCAAGGCTGTCACTGTGGGCAACACTAATGGAAGGTCCTACTCACTGTCAGCATGACTATGCAGAGTCCATCGGAAAAATTTCCAGTGGCAGGTAGGTAACCCTCATTGCTGATGACAGAGCTGCAGTACTGAAATACTGCACAGCTGGAATGCTTGATGTAAACTGACTGTTTTGATCATTACCACACAAATTGCATTAACATCTGTATTGAGGTCTCAATGATTGACTTGTTTAACAGCTTACTTTGTATATGTTTATAAAATCAGAAAACCTGCCATTTCTATGTGATGAGATAATATAATGTTTAGGGACTGCCTGGGAATGTGAGATGCAATTATTAATTTGTATGTATATGTAAATAAATCTAATGGCTAAGTTATTAGTTTTACGTATATATTTATGTACACAGATGAAGTTTCTGGCTAAAACCCTTGCAGCATGACATAGGAAGGTTCTCAGTGCAGGGCTGGTCTTGCATGTCAATCTCCAATCTTCTGCTGTGCTCCAGTCTTCTGAAATGTAAACCTAGTTAGGGAACACATTCTTGTAAGTGTAATATCCTACTCAAAATTGGTTCTATAGCACAGAAATAAGACTGACAGAAGCAATATACTGACACATGCCAGATTCTTAAGGTAGACCATCAATTATGTGACCATACACTGTAATGCAA